CACTGCCTCTGAGCTCCACACCTACACACCACAAGCCAAGAGACATGTTGCACGACCCAACTCACACCATGGTTAGCTCACAAACTCAACCTAGATCGTGGATTACGTTGACAATCACTTATCACAAGACGAACTATAAAAGCACGTATCAACATTGTGTTCGCAGCTTGTATACAAGTGCTCTGCTTCTGCACGTAGCCAGAGTTGGCGCCTAGTGTTAAACGACGGCGCCCTATTTGGCCTTCGATCACTCTCAGTTAACTATTTAAATTCTACTATCTCTCTAGAAATTACTAGACCTCTTTGTATGTACTGCCTAAGGACTAGTCAGGTAAATCTAATCTTGATTACAAGTACTAGTAACTTTATTACGCTTACGCATACGTGCTCCAATTGGCCCGAACGTAACAATGGACCAACCAACCGTTCTAACCGAAGATCACGAAAGTGAAATCTATTATAAAATATGTCATACTCTCATGCGCGGCCACACGTACCAGCTCGCATCCGAGAGGAACGCAGCTATAAATACAGCTGGGAGCCCGAGCCTTAGACCACTGAGCGTTATAAGGCCAGTCTCAATGCTGAGTTTCACTACACGGTTTCTAAAACGCCACATCAACTAAAGCGGGATGAAACAATGAATGAAACTAGCCTTCACAATGCAGGGTTTCATTTCACCAATTCCAAAACTAAGTAAAGCATTTAATTGTTGTAGAATGATAGGATCATATGCACCCATTGCTCGTGTAGTCATTCACACACAGAAATAAGATAAACTGGAATACCAGGACTGCATACGCATGTTCATATAATCGGAATAACAGGACTGCATACGAAGTAAGACAACTACAGCACTGCATATTCCAAAGTGACAGACAACAGGATGATTCACTGGAACACATAGATAACCAAGATGATTCATCACTGGAACTAAGATAGTTAAAAAAAAAGTTTAGATAGCCTTCAGCCTTGCACACGGCTTCTCACTGGTTCTTCTCACAAGACAGACATCTGCACCCCATAGGTTTCACATAGTTGCTTTCATCCTGCAGAAACAAAAAACACATTATTACACTATGTCCATGTCTCTCTGTACATGTCAATAGCAATCTGGTATTCTAATGACAACACAAGCAAAGCTAGTTAGCTGTTGTTTTTCTCAACACACAAGTGAGTTGCTTGTCATTAAAGATAAAAAACAGTATAAGAAACCCATAACATCAAACACACACTCCAGCGCATTCTTAATTAGCTGTTGTTGTCATGTTCTGTTTTCTTTATTGCTAAATTGCCCAGTTTTTAGTGATTAGTGAATAATGGGCTGATCTCTTTTTTTTCTTTAGCCCTGTTAGTTACATGGCTCTTCCAGTTTCTTCTTATATAGTAGCATCATTTTTGTATCTTTATGATCGATAATGTGCAATGTTACCTGGGTTCCTGAACAAATCTATCTGGTTATGAAATGCTTATTGACCTTTTTTGCTCTTCCTGCAGCTCCAGCAGTGAAAGTTTCAGGTGTAAATGGTGTACTTTATGTTGTGGAACCTATGGATGCACGCAGTCCATTGAGAACAAAAGCGATCAAAGGCTCTGTCTCACCATTTGCGTTGGTTATAAGAGGCAGATGCCAATTCGATGACAAAGTTAGAAATGCACAGAATGCTGGATTCAAGGCTGCTGTAGTATATGACAATGAAGACAACGGCGTCCTTGTTTCAAGTAATGATTCAGACATCATTTTTTTTTACCATAGCAGTTACATGTTATCCTTTATCAGTGCGCATAAAGGGGTGTTGCTCTATAAGGATTTGAGTATTTCTTGTCCATAATGCTGCAAGTCATTATAAACTGTTGAGAAGAGGAAAAGTAATTTTGCAAAGCATCTCTAAACTATTAGATTAATTTCATTGAACCTAAAAGGTAGATAACTGAAGTTATCAAACTTAATGGTAAAATTTTTACCATTTAGAGTACTTGGTGAGTGCATATATTTGCAATTAATTAAGCAAGGATTATTGCAGTGGCTGGAAGCTCGTCTGGAGTCCACATATATGCAGTGTTCGTCTCTAAGGCATCAGGGGAGGAGCTGAAGAAATATTCAGGTCAAACTGATGCAGAGTTGTGGATAATAGCAACATATGAGAACTCAGCTTGGTCAATCATGGCAATTTCATTTATATCACTGCTTGCTATGTCTGCTATCCTAGCTGCTTGTTTCTTTGTGCGGAGACACCAGATAAGACGGGACAGGGCTCGACTTCCCCAAGCTCGGGAGTTCCATGGAATGAGCAGTCAATTAGTTAAAGCAATGCCAAGTCTTATTTTCACAAAAGTGCAAGAAGACAACTGTACATCAGCAACATGCGCCATTTGCTTGGAAGACTATAGTGTTGGAGAAAAACTAAGAGTGCTACCTTGTCGACACAGTATGTTTCTCACACATCTATTTAACTGATGTTTGGGAGTTTGTGGTCTATTCATTTTATATGTGAGCTGAATCTGGCTTGCTAGCCATTACTGTCCAAAAATGCCATTGCTTGTCCAAAAGCGTCAAGTTAGTAATATTTGTGAACTAAAGTGCTGCCTAGACAGATTATATAATGCTGCCTAGACAGATTAATGAACTAAAGTGAACTAAAGTACTAGATTCATCAAGGAAACTACTTTCACATATATAGTGCTGCCTAGACAGATTAATGAACTAAAGTACTGCATTCACACTAAAGTGCTGTGCAGTAGCATTCAGGCCGTGGAGTAGACAGATTTGAGAACTAACCTTAGTCAGCAAACAACTTTTCCTCAAGCTTGCGTAATGCCTTGTCTCGGCTAGCCTTTTGATCTTCAGACATGTGACTTGTATCTTGATTAAGTAGGGAATTGTAGACCTCAAACATCTTTGCTTCCTTTTGCTCTTTTGCTGCCTTCAAATTTGCATTTGATATCTGAATCTGTGCTTCCGTGACCTTTTCGCGCTCCACCTTCCGATCTTGCTGCACCTTGATAATTTTCTCAATGTTGTCCCCAAGGATGACAATTCCTTCTTGCGCTTTCCACTGCGCTCAGCCTTCGCTGCTTCTCTACCAATGGGACGTGACTGTTCTTCTGGAACATCAACTATGTTAGTCTTGTCTTTCTCTTTTTCCTCAAACTGTGCACACCATTTGGGCTCCTCTTTCAATATCTTCCACCAATGCACCAACGAAAAACGCTTTCCAAACCTGTTTTCATATATCTTCTGTGCCTCTTCCTCTAGCATGTCATCGGAGTATCCGCTTGTATGCATTTGAGTTATCTTAGTCCAAGCGTCATTGAAATCAGTGATCGATGACTTCAGGCGTGACCAGTGAACCTTCAGTTGGTTTAGTTCCCTTCTACGCTTCCCATTTCCTTTCCTGTTAAACTCCTCAGTGATTTCCTTCCAAAATGTATCATATTTCTAGTCATTACCCCTAATTGGGTCTTTCGAAACATTCAACCAAGCACTGGCCTACAAAATATGAAATAAAAAGTATGAACAAATGAAGTATTGTACCAAACACTGGCCTAAAAAAGAAAAATAAATTTATTTGTTAAATGGTGAATACATTTATTTGTTAAATAGCTTTACTTTGGGGATGTGATGTTTAATTTGATTGATGGAATACACTATGTTTGACAGCCCTAATTACTCGGGCTTGCCTCCTTGCACATACTTAGAGGTGCATACGTAATGAATATCAATGGCTAGATACAATCATGCAAATCACTTTGAAGCGGCTGTTCCCTTTCAAGAGAAGTCAGTAGATGACTTGACCCGTTGCAGACAGAAAAATAAAAAACACTGGCCTACAAAAATAAAAATAAAAAACTGATCAGTGATTACCAGTCTCGTTTTCTCGTCATGAGTCCAATATCTTTTCTTTACTGCCCTGTTTGCCTCACTATTCTTCCCTTCCTCAATGTCAATATTCACCGTCTCCTTTGCTGAAGTGCCTCGTTTCACAGTTTGGGATGTTACTGTTCCATGGGCACTTGGTGGTGCTGGTGGGGATATTGGGTTGAAGCTCATGGTCTGGCCAACAAAATGAAAATTTTCTCCTTGCATGTGTGGGTGCGGCGGATACTGTGGTCGTTGAAGGAAATTCGTAAAACCACCTGGTGGATAAACCGACCTGACATTTCCAAAAACAAGTTAAGTCCTCCTCAAAGCAGTAAGACATATTGCACATAAAGAGAAAGTACATGCTTTACTATTATATAACGCTATATATAGCATGTAGTTCCTGTCTAGTAAGGAATTGATGCCCAAAATAGTGATTAAACTGTCAGACTGTATGCTCTGTACAGAAAAATTCAGTCACCTTTATATGCATTTGTATGTGCTTTCAGTCACTTTCAAAGATGTCTGAGAGATTCAGTTTAACTCTAAACCAAGTCCTGAACATTTGAATCCAAATAAATCAGATCTACACATGCTCTGAGTTGCAGTAACAAAAGATAACATAGTAGCATGAAGGCTCAGTTACATTTAACAGAGCACACAAACGATATATCATACAAATTGCAGATTAAATTGTAGAGATCTAACAAATCACTATCAGTTCAAACACTTGCAGGCATCAAAATCAACTACTTCTAGGCATCAAAATCAACTAATTACATGCATCAAAATCAACACATACCATAGATTTGGGGCTTGCTGGTTTCCTTGTACATATGGAAAATTTGGGGGCATGGCACTGAAGGAGCACGGGATCGGTGATGAAACTCTTCCCCCCTCAGTGCGGGTGTCGTGCGATTACCGAGTGGTTGGAAACCGAGCTCGCGAGTGTCGTGGCCATGAAACGAACTTGTTCTCTCTCTTCCTCGTTTCATGCAAAAATTGCTCTAGTGCTGATGTGTCACCCTAATTAATGTGCATGACACTCCCATGACCTCTCCATTGAGACTGGCCTAATAGCCTATCAGCGACATCACTTGGACAGACTGTCCAGCAGTGACATCCATCTGACGGCAGCATGGACGACAGCATGTACAACGCCATCCTCCTGGCGCTGCTGGCCGTGTCCATCCTGACGTTCCTTCATCTGGTGGGCTCCCGTCGTCGTCGCCTGCCGCCGGGGCCGAGCACGCTGCCGGTGATCGGGAGCGTGCACCACGTGGTGAACACGCTGGTGCACCGCAGACTGCGTGACCTGGCTGCCGTGCACGGCCCCATCATGATGCTCAGGATCGGGGCGATGCCGCTGGTGGTGGTCACCTCGCGGGAGCTGGCGCGCGAGGTGCTCAAGGTGCAGGACCCCAACTTCGCGAACCGGCCGCGGCTGCTGGTGGGCGGCATCTGCGGCTACGGCTGGGCCGACATCATCTTCGCGCCCACCAGCGACTACTGGCGCAAGATCCGGAAGCTGTGCATCCAGGAGGTGCTCAGCCCCAAGCGGATCCGCTCCTTCCAGTGCATCAGCGAGGAGGAGGTGGCGCGGCAGGTGGACGCCATCCGCGCCGCCGCCGCCGCCGGCGCGCCGGTGAACCTGACCAGGATGCTGTACGACATCAGCAGCCGCACCATCTTGAGGTCGTCGTTCGGGGAGGTGCGCCCCGACATGCCGTGTTCCAGGACGCCATCAAGCGCGTCATCGGCCTGTCCAGCGGCTTCAACGTGCCGGACCTGTTCCTCACCGGGATGAAGCGCAAGCTCCGGGAGATACACCGCACCTTCGACGCCATACTCGTCGACATCATCGACAAGAGGCGCCGGGAGCGCGCCCAGATGGTGGCCGCCGGGAAGGAGGTCGTCGACGAGAACGTCGTCGACGTCATGCTCACGCTGCAGAAGAACGACGACGCATGGGACTTCCCTGTCACGGACAACACCATCAAAGCTGTCGTCTTGGTATCTTTACTTCTTTATTACTGCATCTCCCCCCTTTTTTTCTTCTTTATTATTTTGATTTGTGATTCGATTCCATCGACAAAAAAATGTTCTGCATGCAACTCCGTACGTACGTTCTGACGTACTAAGTATCTAATAGATATATACTATACACACACAGGATATGTTCGCCGGCGGCACGGGCACGTCCGGCTCGTCGACGGAGTGGGTCATGTCGGAGATCGTCCGCAACCCGCGGGTGATGAAGAAGCTGCAGGACGAGATCCGGCGCACGTTCCGCGGGAAGGAGACCCATCACCGAGACGGACCTCCGCAGCAGCGACCTCAAGTACCTGAAGCTGGTCATGAAGGAGGCGATCCGGCTGCACCCGGCGGCGCCGCTGCTGGTGCCCAGGGAGAGCATCGACACGGCGGAGTTCGGCGGCTACGTGGTGCCGGGCGGCTCGCGGATCGTGGTCAACGCGTGGGCGATCTCGCGGGACCCGCGCTACTGGAAGGACCCCGAGGAGTTCAGGCCGGAGCGGTTCGCCGAGGACGGCGCCGTCGACTTCTACGGCCTCCACTTCGAGTTCACGCCGTTCGGGGCCGGCCGCCGGATGTGCCCTGGCTACAACTACGGGCTCGCCGGCATGGAGCTGTCGCTGCTGCAGCTCATGTACCACTTCGACTGGAGGCTTCCCCCCGGCGTCGACGAGCTCGACATGGAGGAGGCCATGGGGCTCGGCGTGCGGAGGAAGAACTCTCTCATGCTCTGTGCTATTCCCTACGTCCCTGAGCCGGCGATGCCCGTGGGCTAGTTTAAAAATGGAGATCGACTTTTTGGCACACGCACCGTACCCCTTAAACAAGCTCAGTGTACCATGTATGCATTCACGTGCTGGCGTTTATGTACATATATGTAATGTATCGCCGTATCTATGGTGAAATTGCATTTCACTACATCCCTATGAGGCTACGAGTCATTTTGTTGCAAACTGCGCTCTTAATCCTGTATGGCATAGCTCCACTTCGTCGGTGAAGCTGTTATTTTTTGTTTCAGCTTCATAAATAGCTCCATCGAAGCAGGTAGAGTCGTTTTGATAAACCGTTTGATAAAACAACTCCACATATATAACTCCTTAAAACAACACCATACAAGCCCCACCAGGGCGAGGTGAAGCTGGGCAAAACACTATTTTCGGCTCCACACTCCACATATCATTTGTGGGAGCACAATTTAAATGGCTCGTTAGGTGAATCCGTTTTGTTTTATCGGTTTGGCATAAAACGACTTCAGTATGTTCCGATTTCCATTCTTGAATCCCGTGATGTGCTTAACGAGTTCAGTTTCCATTGCCATGGTATAAGTAGTGGATGATTAATTCTTGATAGGCCCTGCATGCTTGTAGTAATTCCCTACCGTCATTATCGTAAGTACGTGGGTTAAGCATGCAACGAGAAACTCAAAGTGATACAATGAAATTGCAAAAATAGAGGTCATATAAGCACTCCAAATATAACGTTGTTCGATATCATGCATTGCTGCTAAATAAAAAAAGTAGTTCTAACCCAGGCCGGAGTGTTAGAACGCAGTCGGAGAATCGTAGGCAAATGCAGTCGAGTGTAAGAACATTATTATTGCTCGAGGTACGTGGCCTTTGGAGTTTGGACCGCCACGGTCTCCTCCACGCTCATCCGAACGTCAGCACTGTGGCAATGTCACCTCCATGACCGGCCACCAAGAAAGGCCTTGTTTAGATTGGGACTATGAATTATTATTTGACATTGTAACACTTTCATTTGTATTTAATAATTATTGTTCAATTATGGGCTTAACTAGACTCAAAAGATTCGTATCGTAATTTACAATCAAAATATGTAATTAGTTATTTTTTTATCTACATTTAATACTCCATGCATGTATGATGTATCAAATAGAATGATGTGACAAAGCGAGAGTGAAAAAACTTACAATCTAAACAAAGCCAAAGTTAGGAAAGATGCAGATAACCCAGAAGCACTGCCAGGTCGAAGGCTCTTGATATAACAAAATAAAAAGGCCTATGTACATTCAGGACAGTTAACATCTGAGCTTTCCCGAACTCACCTTCATCCAAAACTCTAAATTCGGAGTTAGCAATTCCAATTCCGAATTCTGAGTCTCAATACCTACTTCCAAACGCAACCTTAAGGAAACAAGGTGCCAATCTACCAAAAAGTACACCCACATCCTACACAATCTTGTGGAAACAAATGCCTCCCTCGCAGCAAAACAGCCCCCGGCGAACCGCCTCCATCTAAACGCAGCATGCCTCTCACTTGCTGTCAGTAAAATCTGCGTCAATTACATCGCCTTCGTCGCCTGGCTTCTCAGCTGAGCCAGCAGAAGCATCAGCACCTGGGGCAGGTCCTGCGCCTGGGGCACCCTGCTGGTTGTAGAGGGACTGCCCAATCTGCATGACTTCCTGGTTCAATGCACTGATGGCGTCCTTCATCGTCTGTGTGGAGCCACCAGCAACAGCATCCTTGAGCTCTTGCAGCTTTGACTCGACCTTCCCCTTGACTTCACCTGGGACCTTGTCCCCTAGTTCCTTCAGTTGCTTCTCGGTCTGGTAGATGACTGACTCGGCTTGGTTCTTGGTGTCAATGGCGTCTCTCTTCTCCTTGTCCTCCTTTGCAAACTTCTCAGCTTCATCAACCATCCTCTCCACCTAGGCAGTTTTTGATTGATACAGATCCAATTGATCAGAAACATTGAACAGTATGAAAAGGAGTGAGGACTAAAGTACTAAAAAAAATTTGTTTAAAACATGACAGTACATCACTTGCTCAAGACATACCTCATCCTTTGGCAGAGTGCTGGCCCCAGTAATTGTAATATCCTGCTTCTTCCCTGTACCCTTGTCCACAGCAGTGACAGAAAGGATACCGTTAGCATCAATATCAAACTTGACTTCAATCTGCGGAACACCACGTGGAGCCGGAGGGATTCCATCAAGCCGGAAGCTACCAAGAGACTTGTTGTCTCTCACAAACTCTCTTTCTCCTTGGAGAACATTGATCTCCACACTAGTCTGGCCATCAGCAGCCGTTGAGAAAACTTCTGACTTCGAGGTAGGCAGAGTCGTGTTCCGTGGGATAATCTTGGTCATAACACCACCCAGTGTCTCCAAACCAAGGGACAAGGGGGTCACATCAAGAAGGACAATGTCGCTAACATCACCAGACAAAACTCCAGCCTGCAGTAAAAAACTTGGCACTCAGAAAAACATACTAAGTACCATAATGCAATGTAGGAGTAACTCCAAGCTACAACACACACTAGGGCATTGCTCATCTCCAAAATCTGCCAACAAGGACAGTGTAATGTTCTCATTTCTATGGTTTGGACAGAATTTTGCGAGAATACCATTCTCAATACAGCGTTGTGACATGTTTGGTAGCATACTTCCAAACATAAGTTAGTTAACCAAACAAGAGTTGCTTGTGAACTGACCTGCACAGCTGCTCCAAGTGCAACAACCTCATCAGGGTTGACTGTCACATTGGGGTCCTTTCCTGTCATTTTCTTGACAAGCTCCTGAACGGCTGGTATTCTAGTTGAGCCACCAACAAGAATAACTTCATCAATATCTTTGAATTGCAACTTTGCGTCTCTAAGGGCATTGTCCACAGGGGTCCTCAGCCTGAATGACAGTTTGACAAAAAATATATATCAGCAACAAGGTCTATCTTCAATCCAATCGGACCATATTTAACCAAATGCTAGTAGTTGTCAGAAACATGCAAAATTATGTACATCTATAATCTTTGATCTGACTATGCTATCATGGACCATAATTATGTACCTGTCAAGGAGATCTGAGCATAGCTCTTCAAATTTAGCCCTGGTAAGAGTAGTCTCAATATGCTTGGGGCCATCTGCAGTAGCTGTAATAAATGGCAAGCTGAAGGAACAAATAAAAAATTAGAACAGAGCAAGCAAAAAATAGCATGCTTTAAGGATGTTAGTGCTGAGAATAAAGAACCTCATGTTTGTTTGGGTCAAAGATGACAGCTCCATCTTTGCCTTCTCAGCTGCTTCCGTCAATCGCTGCAGAGCTTGCTTATCTTTTAGCAAGTCAATGCCCTCATCATTCTTGAAGTTTCCAGCGAGCCAATCGACAATTCTCTGAAAGCATATATGGCATTATAAAGACATGCGTTTTGCAGAAGCTTTGAGTTATGACATGCACAGCAACCACTTAAGATTTACTGTACCACTTATGATTACAGTTCCACAGGAAAGAAATTACCAAATCAAGTTCAAAGATATTAGCAGTTGCACTATCAATCCCAGAATATGTAGCTTTGCTTACCACTTTGATCCCACCAAATTTTAACATATTTTACAAATAGTGGATTCTAAAAATCATAATGACTAGTGTATATAACCTCATTGAAAAGAAAGAGCATAAAATACTTGGTGCATAATTTAGACATTGGCACACTGCATTGGTAAGCGCTGATGGTAATGCTAACTGTGAGCTCCCAGAAGAACTAACACAAATAACATATACAATACCAAGAAATCAAGAACACACTGTGACAACATCAATATGCACCCTGTAGTGTAACTAAATTACTCAATCCAAAAACTACATTTGTTCTCTTGATCCACACATTGTCAGAGTCTCAAATAGCTACTTTTTGTGTGTATGGTTGAAGAACATATAAAAAAAAGATACTTTTGCATACTTTATTAGTTGTCACAGCTCTCTAAGGTTCATGTCATACAAATGACATCTTATAACAGGTAGTACATGTTTTTTTATAAGAAAAAGTTAAACATGTAGCTGCAAATACCCTATTGATGGATAGCCACTGACATGAGATTACAAAGCGAAGGAAGCAAGGATTTTTGTGTGCCAAGAGATAGGGGAAGATAAAGAAAAATGAAGAAACCTTTAGAATTGCAGTAAAAAAATGCATTTTCTGTTGAAAAAATATAACCAATGACTAACCTTGTCAAAGTCATCACCACCAAGGTGAGTGTCACCCGATGTAGACAGCACCTCAAAAACACCATCACCAACTTCAAGAACTGAAAATATCAAGGGAATATATGATCCAAGTGGAACCAACAATTTCATTTAAAACATCTCTCAACAGGTCAGGGGAATTACAACAAAAAAATGTGGAATATGATAATATGGTCAAACTTCCATGGTACGTGACACCTTTCGGTTAGGATTTTATTTGAGATTCTTTTGTCCACCAAGATTCTCATAACTTGATCTTTAGTCTAAAAATCTCTGAGAAGTAGGTATTCACAAGAACACCAAACAGGACAGATACCTGAAACATCGAAGGTGCCACCTCCGAGGTCAAAAACCAGAATTGTTTCATTGTTCTTTTTCTCAAAACCATACGCTAGCGATGCAGCAGTAGGTTCATTTATAATACGCAGAACCTCCAGCCCAGCAATGCGGCCAGCATCTTTGGTCGCTGTCCTTTGTGAATCGTTGAAGTAAGCAGGGACTGTGATCACTGCCTTTGTGACCTTGTCATTCAAAAACTTTGATGCATCATCCACCAGCTTTCTCAGCACCTACAAGACATAAAATGTACAGCAGCCTGGATCAGAAACAGTATGTACAATCAAAAGTACATCTTGCATAACAGTTAGTTTCAAAGGCTAGTCATATCTGTTTCAATTCTTATTATCAACAGAATTACCATAAGAAATATGGATGACATGCAGAGCAAAGCATATGAATATGATGTCAAAAAACAGAAATGCCCAGTACTATGTGACTGTGAGATTCAACCACTTAAG